ATCAAAAATATTGACATGTTTATTTCACTTTATTATTAGAAATGATAAAAGCTGATAAAGAGAAAAGAAAATTTGTATTGTCTACCATTAAATTGGATTCCTCTTTGATTAACTACTTTGGCATATTTGAGGGTCAAATTTATTTTAATTTATTAAAATTAGGACTAAATTGATAGAATATATAAGTAACATTGATTAAATGTATAATTATACCAAATATTTTAACTGTCACATCATATTTTTTATTAAATATTAACAACAAGTGGTTTTATTGAACGCATTTAAATAGTACTTGAGTGACATGATTAACAAGATTTTAAAAATGATGGTCAAAATAAAAATGGGACATAGTTAGGTGGTCACTAGTATAATTTATCTTTTATTTTAAATAATTTTTCTTTAAATTTTCAACTAATTTATAATTATACGTTGACTCAATTAGAATTTTAACGTTTTATAATTTAATTTGTAGATACTCATTATTAGTAGTGCTCATCGCCACTCTTCGAGCGTGGAAGAATCATTCTTTGACCAAAGGGTTAAATAGTGTAAACAAAAAAAATTTTAATACATATTTTTAATTAAATAGTCTTTATTTGATAAATTTGTTAAAATAATATTTTGAAATACTCGGTTAACGTTTCACTACTGAATTGATTAACCGATTAAATAACATCAAATCGGATTGATTCTATTATAAATAGTTTTTTTCTAACCAAATTATATTATAGATAGGCTTAATACTAAAATAAGGTCCCAAACTATAACGCTTCCGGAGTCTGAAACACGCTATCACAAAATAGTTCCCCGAGCTCTTCAAGAGGTATTCTAAACCAATGCCCGACCCGAGCTACTAGGCCAAGGCCATTAGATCCGCTCTTCGCCTTTGCAACTCTTCCTGAAGGAGGAGTCGTGCCATCTCTATTAGTTCTCGAATAGGTGCATAAACTATTTTTTGAGTCATCTCGGTGTCTAACGTTACAAACTTTACCACTTTAGGTGCTCGGACCGTCAATGGTGTTAATTTTTTTGTTAAGTGACGCGTGTCACAATATAATAATTTTAAAATTTTTATTTAAAAATTAAAATTATATGCAAATTAAAAAAACATAAACATTTTAAATAACCCAAAAATTTGAAAACCTAAACCCACGCCAGCCGTCGCCCTTTGCTGTCTACAAAACTCCACCCGACCTCATCTCCCCACAAAGACCAAAACCCCTATGAAATCGTCATCGATCGACGGTGAATCAATGTTTTATACCCCCGCAAAACCCTATGATGAAAATCGTAATCCCATGCAATTCCAATGGCCAATCAACAACAACTATGATGACATATGACTAAGAGGATGGCAGGGACTACATCAATGGTAGTGGTCGCAGCTGAAAAGGGCGACAACGGTGAGTTAAGGTTAGGATTTGAGAATTTTAGGGATTTTGAGACTTTTTTTTTTTTAAATTTAAGAGAAATTAATTTTTTTATAAATATAATATTAAAAAAATAAATTTCAAATTCACTAGATTGTGACATGTGTCACTTAACGGGAAAATTAACGTCATTGAAGGTCCAGACACTGATATTGTTTGTAAAGTTAGACACCGGAATGAGTTAAAAAATAGTTTAGGCATCTATTCGAGAAAAAAATGGTATAGTTGGGCACTTATTTTGGTCTGTTCTCTAGAACCCACCAGGCAAACGACAACCCCACGAGCGATGGGCGGTATGTAGAGTGCGTGAGGATTAATCCGTAATTTTACATGCATTGGAAGCTCACCTCTCGAACCTATTCGAGCATAAGGTACGAACTAAAATTTCACATGCATTAGATTTCATATCAGTAATATCTAGATTTTTACGTGCATCAGATGCGTACCACACAAACAATATCAGGATATTCACAACAAATGACGATTGTCATAATTCTAGAGTAACTCGGGTGTCCTGACCGTTTCTCGAGCATCATACAAAGGAAAATCTTATGTCATCCTAACGTGCTTGATTTCTATGTGAGAATTTAGTAATTTTGATTGTTTTCACTTGTATCGTACACTTGAAGTTTATACGAACTAAAAACACCCAAGCATGAACCAAACGAACCAAATTGCCCAAAAATCAACGATGGTATCAATACTATTGGCACAATATCGATACTGACCCTTGGGTATCGATACTCACTTGAGTATCGACGCCAAAAATAGATTCAATGTTTTGAAAAATGCCTTGGTATCGATCCTCCTATGAGGAGCATCGATACTCCTATGGGGAGCATCGATACTCTACCCTGGGTATCGATATTCCCATGAGCATCGATACCAATTTTATACACTAGAATCTAGGTATCAAAATCGGACCCCAAGTATTGATACTCCTTGGAGGGGTATTGATACTCACCCTAAAAAATTGCTTTATTTTTGTCCCATAAGAAGAATAGTATCGATATTTTTCTTACAGTATTGATACCGACAGCCTGAAGTGCCCTGTTTTGGGCACAAAAATGCATTTAAATCTCACCCATACACTCTCCTAGGACTATCAAAGCTTATTAAAGTCTTATTTAAGGTCTTAGAGGTCAAAATGTATCATCTTTCATGCTTACAAACAACAAATACATATATTGCCATGAAATTTACTCTAGCATGCTTCATGAACTAAATAAACCATAAATGCACATACAATGACCTACATGTGGTATGGTCAAGTTATAGTCATGTTACCTTGATGCTTAGTTGTTTGAAAGTGCCCTAAATTACTCAATTACTAGTTTTTCCTTGCCTCTAGCCTTTGAGCTCTCACCCTTCTCTTGTACTTATCAAAACCATGAAAATAAGTTGTTAACTCATTTTAAAACTTAAGGGAACACTAGAAACAATTCTTACAACTTAAAACTCCCTAAAAATGGATTAAAACCCCAAGGTTCTATAAACCCCACTAAAACTCAATTTTGGTAAACTAAACCAAATCTTGAAAATGGGGGCTTGAATTGAAGCTTGGAAGGAGTAGGTTATGAATCTTACCTTGGAAGCTCTAATGGATGTTTGGAACTCTTAAAGTTTTCAACTTTTGCTTGGTTCTTGAAGAGGAAGGAAGACAAAAAGTAAAGATGAATAAGACAAGTTTTATGGTGAAAAAGAGATGAAATGCTCAGACTTGATATCATTCCAAATAAATGGGAATCAGCTTTGATTCAAATAAATAGGTTAATTACTCATTTGGTCCTCCCTCTTTCATGCTAAGATTAAAAACACCCTTTTTAAAGTTTATTGGGCTCATCTCAAACCCAAATCAAATCCATTTGGGTCCGAAGCTTCATAAACTAAGGGGAAATTATTTTAAGGTTCAAATCGAATATAATCGAAACTCCTAACCCGGATTCGAGGTGTTACAATTTTTTTTATGAAAAAAAATCATTGACAGCTGAATTGCGATTATATTATTTATACATATTTTGGGTAAAAGTGTCATTAGAATACCAAATTAGGTCTCCCAGCAGCAGCTGGAACTCAACTCGAGCTGTATTGAAGTATCTATTGGGTCGTATGATGAAATTTGATAATTTAGCTATCACATTAAACTTGCAAAAATTAGTGAAGAGATGTATTTTAAAACAAGAAATTAATTTATTTTTAAGTTGATTATTAATATTATGATATATATAAAATGTATTACACTAAGTGTAAATGAATCCTAATTTCTTAAATATATTTACATACATATTACCCATTTATTTATGTATTTAATAAAAAAAAAAAGATACTTTGGGCATTATATATATACATGAGATAATTGATTACCCAGTGACAGAAGCACATGAAAAATTAAAAATATATATATATTTTTATATAATAATTTTTATATATTATCAATTTTGATTCTATATTTTTTAAATATGTATAAAAAATTAACTCACATAAGAATAAAATATTTTTTCCATTCACCAGACATCTCAAATTTCTCAAATCCTCATATATATATATATATATATTATAAATTTTCTCTTATTTTCTCTTGTTATCACTCATTAGAATTTTTATTAGATGGCCGATCAATCTAAGATTTTCTAACTCTTCTTATGCTTTGTTTGTTTGTCGTAAAATATTTTTTTACAGAAATATTTTTACATATTTTCTTGTATTTGTTTGATAAAAAGATTTTAGTCAACATAAAATGATTTACGGTCAAAGAAAAACTTAAGAGAAATTCCCTTAGAATTGTGGTTTCATATGATAGATTAAGAAGTTTTTTTTATGCAATATTAAGCTGCTATTGGTTAAATAATTTTGAGTACCAATTTTACATGAGATTTCTAACATATTGATTGAGTAATAGTTTTTAGAATTGTTGATATACGCGTCCTTTAAAAAGATTATGATTGATTTTCTTTATTATCTTGAATTTCTTGAATATGGAGTCAAAAGTTGACATTTTTGTTTAAAAATTGTTGTTACTAGCGTAATTTTTGCTTATACAGTAATTTTGGTCCGACCTAAAACAACCTATGCCCAAATTAATATGTCCAAAATCATCGAGCCCGAAGTCAAACCCAAGTTGTGATCCAGGGCCTACTAAACCCTACTCGATTTTGAGACTAGCCACCATTCCTTTGTCAACTAAGAGAAACCCTTTCTCACTCAGTGTTGTAAATGAGACGACACATATCGCACGCAACTCGAGTTTAACTTGGTTAACATTAAACTCAAATGGAATTGACTTGAGCTTGAATTTGATTCAAAATCTTAACGAGTTGAGACGAATTACTTTGTATCTGACTCAAAAATATCGCGAGTATATATTAATGCCTACACATAAGACAAACGCTATGCATTAACATTGTTCTATCAGACTTTATAGTCTTACCAATTTTTTTGAGTCATATCGTTAATCATTATTGTTTTCACTCATCCAATCATCCTAAATATATATGTATGACATGATGGATCCTACTATTTCGGATTTGCATGGAAGCCCTAGAAATTAAAAAAAAAAACCTTACCGTCGGGATGAATCCCCCCGATCCGCCAGACCTTGCCGCAGGCCAGACTGACCACCCTGTTACGCCAGCACTATGCCACATGGATTGTGATGACGTGCCTATCCCGAAAGCCCCTATTTCCTACAAAGACATGGTCATTGATATGCACCAAAGTTCCTCCACTGTTGATTCGACAGATGATTCCTCGATCTGGATGATGATGCTTTTTGAATTAATGGAAGAACATTTTCAAACATGAGAATGGAATGGTATCCCATTTATTGATTTCTCCGATCAGGTTCAACAATTGGATATCAAAAGCATGGATTATACCCTAATCGTCAAAGTTCTTGGCCGTATGGTTGGCTATAACACTCTGCATAATCGGATCTATACCATCTGGAAGCCTTCTCATCCTATCAATTTAGTCGATATTGAAAACAACTACTTCCTGGTTAAATTCTCTTGTCAGCAAGACTATCTCAATGGTCTATCAGATGGCCCTTGGACTATTTTCGGACATTATTTGACCATTGAACCATGGTCCGTCGATTTCTGTTCGGCTCAATCTCACCTTAGTCGAATGATTGCATGGGTACGATTGTCGGGTCTGCCTATCACTTTCTATAAACAGAGTATGATCGAAGCGATTCGAAATCGAATTGGTTCTGTTGTCAAGGTTGACGATCAAACTGACAATGGTAGACACCGACGTTTCGCCCGTATGGTTGTGAATATAAATCTGTGCACCCCCTTGTTTCGAAAATTGATATTAATGGTCGAACCCAAATTGTGGAATATGAGGCTCTTCCAACAGTCTGGTTCGAGTGTGGAATTTATGGGCATGTGAAGGATATTTGTCCAAAAATAATAGCCGCCAGGGTGGGAGGAATTACCTCCGATAGTGCTCCCAATTTGGAACCATCACTGTCGCTTCCGAACTCAACATCTCCTGCTCCGAATGAGGCTTTTGGTCCGTGCATGATGGTAGAAAAGAAGAAGCGTAGTAACCAAAAGAAATCCACGAATACTACTAAGGATAACGGAACAGGCAATATCATTCCATCGTCTTTTGCCTCCTTTAGCTCTGAAGAGTCTACCGATGTAGTAGTTGAAGACCCTCAAGTTCCTTTTATGGACTCTCCCTTCCAGATGTCGCTGCTGCGGCTAACGTGACAAAGGAGCAGATGCCATCACATATTCTTTGCAAGCAGAAGTGACGGCAACTACTGTTCCCTAGACCTCATGTAACCCAGCTACTGCTAGCAAAGCCAAGTGCAAGGGTAAAGATGCTATCTCAACAAGGAATCTTCCTCCGATACCATTAAAGCCTATCTCTCCCAATATCATTCTCAGTCGCAACTTTGAAGCTCAAATACAAGTTATGTGAAACCACAACATGGCCTGTCTTGAATCAGTCGAGACATTCGGTTATCACAATTGCTCCAGATTATCATCTTGATCTCCCCGTTACTAGTATTACATGTGGTTCTGTCGGACCCCCTGCCCCGTTTTCAAATCCCGAGATCGGTCACACCATTCATATGGACGTGGAAGGGTCATCGAAGCCGACTAAGAGTTCCTCAGTCATGATGGATTAAATCCATCCGTTTCTCTTTTTCTTTCTATGGATATGTGACTTATCGTTTGGAATGCCCAAGGTGTTGGGAGTAATACGTTTATGCGGGTTGCTAAACAGTATCTGCGAGATAACCGACCAGATATTTTTACTTTTGTTGAAACCAAAATCAGCGAAAGTTCTGCCTATTCAGTGATTGCAAAATTGGGATTTCCGAACTCCTATCGTGTTGAAGCGACTGGTTTTGTCGGTTGTATTTGGCTTTGTTGGACTGATAAATTTCAGATTTCTATATTTTTTTCTCACTTCTAGTTTATTCTCTGTCGGGTTCATGATACTGCTACTGGTACTTATTTTATTGCTGCAATTATTTATGCCAGTCCGTCACCAAGCAAACGACACTATCTTTGGAGTCACTTGCGCCAATTGGCTACTGTTGTGTCTGAACCATGGTTACTTATAGGCAACTTTAATGCCACTCTTTCGGATGATGATAGGGAAGGGTGCGCAGCTCCTAGCAAGCTTGATTCTCACTTTCAAAGCATGGTACGTGATACTGATCTTTACGATATGGGGTTTCGTGTCTCTCCTTTTATTTGGTACAGTGGTCCAAGCTATGTTCGTTTAGACAGGGGGCTTTGCAACAATCATTAGCTGAAGACTTTTCCTGATTTCTTTATTTTTCATCTCATCCGCATGAAATTAGAACATGGCCCTATTCTGTTGTGCACTAGACAGACAGGTTCCTTTCACGAAAAGACTCATTTCCGGTATTTTGCTGGCTGGTCCTCCGATTCTGATTTTGTTCAAATGCTTCGGACTTCTTGGAATCATTCTTTGCCCATTTCAGATGCCATTGTAGCTTTTACCAGAGAGGCTGAAACATGGAACCAAGATGTTTTTGGTTCAATTGGTAAACGCAAGAAATTTCTTATGGCTCACCTCCGGGGTGTTCAACGATGGCTTGATCAACACCGATATACGAATTTGGTTAAACTTGAATTCAAACTTCTCACTGAGCTTGAACTTCTCCTCAATCAAGAGGAGCTTTTATGGATACAAAAATCGACAACTGATTGGGTCCAGTTTGGGGATCGAAATACGTCTTATTTTCACTCAAAAACCATTACAAAACGAAGGCGTATTCAAATCAAAATGCTCAAACTTGTGTTTGGAGACTGGTACGATAATGATGATGTTCTTGAGGAAGTTGTTTCATCTCATTTTAAGGCTTTTTTTCTCTCCTTGCAACCGACCAACATGCTCTTATCCTCTCTCAAATTGTTTCCTCTCATAGGGTATTCCCTCTCAAGATGAAATCCGGACTGCTCTAAAGTCCATGGCTCCTCTGAAAGCCCCTGGGAAAGATGTGCTTCATGCTCGTTTCTTCCAGAAGCACTGGGATGTGGTCGATCCATCTATTTGTCAAATGGTTCAAGATGCTTTCAGAACCTCTCGTGTGGATCCTTCAATTAATCATACCGTCCTTACTCCCATCCTGAAGGTTCCTTCGCCGGAGAGTTTCAATGACTTCCATCCAATAAGTCTCTTCTCAGTGCTCTACAAGCTTTCCACTGAAATCATTGTCCGCAGAATTAAAGTTATGATTCCTAGGCTGATCGGAGATCATCAAACAAGCTTTATTGCTGGTCGAAATTATTATTATAAATCAGGAAGTTATGCATTCAATGGGTCTGAAAAAAGATAAATTTGGTTGGATGGCTATAAAGGTGGACCTCCAGAAAGCTTTCGACAACTTGCGTTGGGAATTCATAAAAGATACTCTCCTTGATACCTCTTTTCCGGCTTCCTTGGTGAATCTTACTATGAGCTGCATATCTTCTGTTACAATGAAAATCCAACGGAATGACGAGCTCAGTCCGAGTTTCTTTCCGGAGAAGGTTGTCTGCTAAGGGGATCCCCTATCCCCGCATTTGTTTATTCTGTGCATGGAGCGTTTAAGCCATCTTATAAAGCACTCCGTCAGTTCTTCGACTTGGAATGTTTTTCGTCTCTCGTCAGGAAACCCCTTTATCTCATCTATTTTTCACAAAAGATCTCTTGCTTTATGCAAAGTCAAATCTTAAACAAGTTGTTCTCATTGGTTGTATTCTTGACATTTTTGGCGATCATCCGGGCTTTCAGTGAATAAAAAATAAAATTGAAATTTTCTTCTCGCCGAACACTCCTTTAGATGTGCGTCAAGCGATCTGCGCCCACTTGGGTTTCTGCCAAATTGAAGAGATAGGGCGGTATTAGGGATCCCATTTCATTACCATGGGAGGAGCTCCAGGTTATATTCTAATATAATTGAGAAGATTCATGCAAAGTTTTTCAATTGGTCTAATTTCAATCTATCTCTAACGGGACGAATCACCATGGCTAAAGCCGTATTATCGGCAATTCCTACTTACTACATGTAATCCTCTCTTGCCAAATGGAGTTTGCTTTGTCAACCTTATCAAAATGGAGGATTGAGCATAAGGAATCAACTATGGCACAACATTGCTCTCATATGGAAAATTTGTAATGCTCTGAGTGTTTCACCGAATACACTATGGATTAAAGTGCTACGTGAGGAGTACTCTGTTTCAGATTTGGTACCATCTTCTCTCCATAAAGCTCATTGTTCTCCTTTATGGCGTTGTATTGCTAATACTTGGCCAATTTTCCACTCTAATTTGACATGGTCGGTAGGTTATGAATCTGTTATTCATTTTTGGTTTGATGTTTAGATCCCTGAGATAGGCCCACTCCTCCAATGGAAACACTTCCCGCTTGTTAGTGTTGAGGATACTCCTCTCAACCGGCTCGTGACTAGTGAAGGGAATTGGGATTGGGCTTTTTGTCTTCTCTCCTTGACGATAGTATACTCGGTTATGTTTAGAGTGTTCTTCCTCATTGTGCCTCTCTAGGTCTGACCGATGCCATTGGAAACATGGTAGTCAGGATGTTTCGGTTTGAAGCACTCACAATACTTTGGCTCCGGGCTCTTAGGATAGTGCCGATCCCATCTGGAATTTGATCCGCAAGTAATTCGTTCCTAAGAGGCTTGAATTTTTCTGTGGTTTATTGCTCATGACAAAATCTTATCTAATGTCAACCGATGTAGAAGAGGCATGCCCATGACCCTACTTGTTCAATTTGTGACTTATGGAGGAGTCGACCATTCATATCCTCTGAGACTGCCATTAGACCAAGCCGATTGGATTTTCTCTCTCGGCATACAATTATTCCCATCTTCTTTAACCTTCCGGCTCAGGGACTAGATAGCAACAAATCTCTCACAAGATGCTCTAATTCATTTTACGAGATTCACTTCCCTCTGGAACATTGTTTTTTTTTGTGTTAATTTGGCAGGTGTGGAAATGATGGAATACTCTGAATACGAGATTCGCTAGTGCTTCTGTCGATTGCTTTCACTTTATGCGCATGAAGTTCGATGGAGCTTGCCTCCTTTTGGTTCTATCTGCCTCAACACTGATGGCTCTGTTAGCGCTCAAAACATGGGTTCCTCTGGAGTTCTGCGGCGCCATGATGTATTAGACTGTTATTAGAAGAGTATACGTGTTTGTATTCTAGTGGAGTAGTTAGCTAGTCTGTTAGATAGTAGTTTGTTATGGTTAACAGACTATGCATCTTATATAAATGGTGTATATGTGAGAATGAAGCAACTATTCTTCCTTTGTACTTTCTATCAGTTGTACTTTCTAATATGGTATCTTTCGTCGTAGGTCTTGGGTTTCCTTTCTAGCTTTCGTTGTTGCTCATTCTTATTAGTTGGTTATGGAGTCTTCCGAGGGCTTCACGCATAAGAAAGTTAATGTCATTCTCGACGAAATGAATTTTTCACTATAGAAACATAAATTATGCTCTGTTTGTAGTCATCGCCTGGAACGATTATTGACTGGTGCTTTGAAACCACCACTGGAGATGGTTTTGATGATCACATTGAGGTGACTTTTAATGATGCTTTTGAAGATTTTATGGCGCAGAACAATGCACTTGTATCGAGGCTTCTTTCCACTATTAGTCATCATTTCTTCCTCAGTTTGTGGGTGTTGACTCGACTGTCACAGTATGGAATACGGTGCAACAACTATTTGCTAACAGATCTACAATTGATGCTATGAGCTTGCGCTGTAAGCTACAATCACTTAAGAAAGGGAGTGACATCATGAGTGTATATCTTATTCGAGTGAAGGAAGTTTGCGATGCGCTTGCTTCGTGTGGCAGTGCAGTCTCGTACGTTGGTCATGTTGCAAGAATTTTGAAAGGGTTGTCTAGAGAGTACCAACCGTTTATGGTGTTATCACAACGATGAAGGAAACTCTCTCCTTGGATAGTTTTTATACGGTGCTCTTAGATGTTAAGGATCAGTTAGCCAGATTTGATGAATCGTTAGACTCCATTCCTATGAGTGCCAATGTTGCTCAGCATGAGGTGGTTCTTGATTCTCTCATAGTGGTCGATGTGATTCCAAATCCTTACGTTCACCTTCAATAATTCGATCTAGCAGTCAGGGTCGAGGAAGAGCTCGGATACAATGTCAGCTTTATTGTAACACCCCAACCCGTACCCGACTCGAATACGAGTC